AACACACACACACACACACACACACACACACACACACACACACACAACCAACCAAAAACAAATTCAAAAGTTCAGTACTCACATAGACAGCATTATAGTACTCACTTTGATCTCTCCCTCATGTCCCTAAGACACTGACGCAAGACGTATTTGAACTTCTCCTTCATCGAAGCGCTAATGACCCCATACACGAGAGAGTCAACGATGAAGATTAAGTAGATGATAATGAAGAGGCCATGGAGAGGGGTGAGGTAGGCGACAAAGCTACCACTGAAGCCAACCTTTAGGCCTACCCTCTTAGCAGCTCGTTCCTGTGAAGTGATTAAAATCGATGTTGCTTTAAAAACTGTCATCTTTGTAGCTGCACTACACGTGCTTCCTGTAGTTGTTGTACACATTGTTGCTGTTGTTGTTGTTGTTGCTGTTGTTGTTGTTGTTGTTGTTGTTGTTGCTGTTGCTGTTGTTGCTGTTGTTGTTGTTGTTGTTATTATTGTTGTTGTTGATGTTTGTGTTTTATACATGCAACTATTGTTTTGGTTGTAATGATACTTATGGTGACAATTGTTAATACATGTACTCTGGTTGCTCATAAAATAAAAGCTCCTTTGAATATTCTCCTCTATATATTCTTTCCCCCTTCGTAGTCGTTGTTGTCTTCCTCCTCCTCCTTTTGCTCTTCAATCTCCTCCCATTACGCCTCCTTTTCCTTCTCCTCCTCCTTCACCTCCTCCTTCACCTCTTCCTCCTGCCCCCCCCCCACCTCCTCATCTTCCTCTTCCCCGTCCTCCTCTTGCTCCTCCTGTTCCTTCTCCCACTAATACTTCTCTTCCTCCCCATCCACAGCAACGACCCCCATCTCCCTTTCCTCCCACCCTTCCTCATCCTCCTCCGCCATTATCGCCCTTCTTTGAGCCCGTGATTTTGTCTGATTGTGTTGCGGTATCTTCATAAGGCTAGTGACGTCACGCTACTACGTTTCTACACGGTGCCGTAGAAGTGGCGTCGTTTTTCCTTTGGAGCTGAATGCTCACATATTTTTCCATTTGTTTGCGAGAGGTAAAAGACAGAAGAACAACAAGAAAGGAAACAATTTTTTTTCAAAAGCAAAGGATTAGTTTTAAAAAGAAGAAAAAATATGGATACAGTGTCACGTCCAGTGATCAAGAATTAGCTGCGCATCTGTAACAGGAAGTACAAAAACATGCATCACATCTCAAAGTTTCGGTGTCTTGGTGTGTTCCCTCAACACAATATTTTTTTTTGCATTTCTTGGAAAGGTTTAGTTTACCTTTAGTAAGCGTTTTAAGGTACTTACAACAACATTAGATCATATAAATGCCGAAGATTAGAGATGTTACCAAAAAAAAAGGGGAAAAAAAAGGAAAGAAGAGAGATAAGGACGATAGATGTTTGATAGGGAAAAAGGAGCAAACCACACCTGAGCATCCGCCAACAGCCCACTCTTGTATGTATGTATGTATGTATAGTATAAGGTTTTACGGCGCTCGCAACTGTTAAGGTCATATGAGCGCGCGAAACACAAGTTGTTCACCTCTGCGAAAGTTCACTTCACGACTGGCTAACTAATTTACTTTAAAATGCTAAAAAGTTAAAATATTCAAATTCGGTGTAAATACA